TCAGGTGAAACTTCCTGGGTAATAGTTCTTATTATTTCATGAAATGGCACACTGTTAAAGAACATTACTGAAATTTAAAGTTACAAAATCAGTAAAAAGCAAATACAAGTGAAATTGTTCTTGTAACTTTTAACACCAACATTACTCAGAGAGGTCTCATGAGAAAATGACCCTGCTGGCACTTCAGTTTTTGAATTCTAATCTGCAGAACTGTGAATAAGACCAACTAGTATATTCCTACAGTATGAGAACACCAGAATGTTTTACTTTTCCACCCTTTCACCTAGGTTTTGTGTTTGGGTATCCAAAAATAAAAGAACAAATGGAAACAATCCAGAGGACAGAAACCTGAAAGAACAAGCTTTTCTGTAATTGTTAATTGAAAAATAAGGGTAGGTTAACCAGACCTGTGGGATTGTGTCAAACAGATAAAAAAACTTTCAAAAAGTATTACTTTGTAGCTGGGCATGGAATACCTGAAATCCCAGGAAGCCGAGACAGGAGAATCACAATTATGAGGCTAGACTGGGCTACCTAATGAGACTAAGCTCAAAGATAGATAGATAGGTAGGTAGATAGATAGACAGATATATAGATGGATAGATAGATGGAAAGATAGAAAGATGGATCTATTATTTTTCTTATTTAAGGGTTTGAGATAATGGTTAATATTGTCAACCTGATAGAAACTACAATCATTTGGGAGACAAACCTTTGGAAATATATATAAGGGGGTCTCTGCAGTGCATTAGAAGAGGTGGGAAGACAAGCCATAACAGGAAGGTATCTACACATGTTCTGGGGTTCCAGGAGTGAGATGAGCAACACTGTTTCTCTCTCTGCTTCCTAACAATAGACAAAAACCTACCCATCTAGCTATCCAACACTCCTAACTCCAGAACTTCCCAGCACCGATATAAGACACCCTCAAACTCTGAAACCAAACCCTTCCATAGGGTGCTTTAGTCAGAACAATGAGAAAACTAATAGATGTCACAACTCAGTGACACAGCATTTACATTACTGTACAAAGCCTCAGGTTTATTGCCATCTGAAAAGATAGATTTAAAATTTTCAAAATACTCACTAAGAATCTATTAGATTTCTGAGTAAACATTAATGAACTGCATTGTCCTAGTTATGTTACTGTATTTGGAACATCTATGTTCTTTTGATGCATGGATTGTATTCCTGTAGGTGATGGTGTGGTTATCAGAAATAGAGGGTTCAGGGATCACTGTGGAAGAAGAGGTGTAGAGATAGGTAACGGTGGTGGAGGACCACAGGAAGTGAGGGCTTCTGGATATAGCAGGGCAGCTGCACTTCAGTCACAATGGTTTTTAGAGCATGCACAATTCTGGCTCATGTTCAAGGCTGACCAAATTATGCCATGAAGAAGGAAAATTGGGCAAGAAGTCCTATCCCTAGCCAAGAAGTTACTGAAAATTGATGGCTGTCAGGAGAGAGAGAGACAGAGAGAGAGAGAGAGAGAGAGAGAGAGAGAGAGAGAGAGAAAGGAGAATCGATATCTCCTTAAAGTTGATCATGCTCCAGAGGTCATATACAAGAACATATGGGTAACACAACACAAATAAGTCTTAATTTATTTTTAAAGACACCAAGTTGGGGTGGGTATGGAAGCAAGGGTAGATCAAAAAAAAGTTGGGAGAAGGAGGGCAAATGCTATCCAAACACATTGTATGAAATTTTTAAAGAATTAATAAAACATTTTAAAAATTAAGATTAGAAGATAAATGTGAATGTCATAGGAGAGAGTTTTATTTAGATGATAGTTTGTAATAGAACATTTAACCATTTTACTGAAGACTAATGAATCATGATATAAACCATATGGATTTTTATGAAAATATTGTGCATAGAAAACTGAATATTTGTGTTCAGTTACACTTGTCAGCCTTCCAAAGAAATGGAAATTCAGACTCCCACAAAACATCATTAGAAAACGCCACTCTTTTGCTACACAGTTCATATTAGAGACATTTCAATTGCTCTGTAAATTTCCTGGAATTCACATATTTTACTCTGAACTGTATTATTCAGCGTGTGAAGAATTTCGGGAGAAATACAGTAAGAGTAACTTTAGCATCTAGGTAGTGATGAGGAGTGCACAGCTAAAGCCTCAATGCAAGTGCTGAAGAAATGCCTTGGGCATGTCTTATGTAGTCAAGCTAACTGTTGTCCCAGGAAACCAATGTTAAGATTCAGTCCCGAAAGGTACACACTTCCAGACAAAACAGGTTGAGGAGAGCAAATGGGCTGCCAGCCTACACTTGTCATGTGTTTTAATGTGAACACAACAGATAATCTTGTGTTCCTATAAAGCAGAATTTCTCACTGTAGCACAGAATACAGAGGCTCATACCTAGAGACGGGGTGTGGGCAGATATTCGGCTGCTCAGAGGTTGTGGAAGGACATGAAGCAGCCTTCTTTGTCTCTTTTCTTTGTCCAAATCCCTTTACTTACTGGATGAATTTTGAGTTTGCTGTTACAAATCCTGGATAGGGTTATTTTGAGTTTTCTGCTTCTAATTGTACCTGATGCAGTTGAGGCTCCAACAGTCATTGGGGTGAGGGATTGAACAGGACAAGCCAACTACATATCCACTAATGATTTAAATCTCTGTTCCCGCTTACAAGAAGTATCAGTAATGCTACTAAGGACTACATTCATTGTGTTAGAAAAATGCTGTCTGGTTTTGTTAACAATTTGGATAACCACAGGAAGCTTTAGACAAAACGCATTGTCGTAATTGGGTAACATTTGTCTAATTTATCAAGAGCCCTTCCTGCTCAGGTATACTGTACCCTGTTTTGCTGGCTCACAGCTACTGCTACTGTGAAAAGCACACTCTGGAATTGGAAAAAAAGAAGACACTGTAAGTGCAAAGAAGCATCAAAGCAGCCAGTGATACTGGAAAATGCGAGAACGGAGCCAGTTACTGAAATAAAGATAGACTATTAGCAGGGAGCTGTTCCCAAGGCACATGTAAGTAACACACATTAGCGATAATGGAAGTCTTGAGAGCACTTCCAGGAAGACGGTGTGTCTGAGTGAAAGACTTGAGGGAAAGGATGCAGACAATATGTACAGTAGTTATGACGGTGGAAACATAAACAAAGATGACTCAATAGTATAGTTTTGGAATTTGACCTTGTCCATACATTGTTTTTTTAATCTCCTTGGAATCTTCCCATGATAAGGCTCATTCTGGAAAATTAGAACCGCTAATTACAAATCTGGTCTCTCTTTCCCCACTTTCATATTGAATATTTGTAGTATACATATACATAAAATATTTGACCAGTGTGGAAGCATTTCCCAGCATCAGGAGGATTTGGAAACTGCCCGGCTTGGCTTTGAATTTGTGCTGCTTTTCATTATTAACACTTAACCTTGGGTTCCTGTCCACTAAATGCTGATACTAACAGCACTTACCCCAGCGGATTTCTGAGTACTAGATTTGAAAATGCATCAAAGCACCTGTTACCCAGCAAGAATCCTTTTAATGTTCACCATTATAATTAGTTAATGATGGGAGAAGAGGGTTTAAACTTTCATCAACTGAATGCTTTGAGAAAGACCAGGAGTTTATTTAAGGTTGAGTTGAGTTCTCAGTGTAAATCAAAGCAAATACATTCCTTTCCATATCATTGTATGAGTTTCAAAAGAAGATACTGAAAATTCAAATCCTATCTCTCTCCTTGATCGTGAGCAAAGCAAGCTGACATATCACAGATAAGCAATAAGCCTCTTCAGGGTGGTGCCTCACAGTGTTTACTTATATAGTTCCCTTGCTTGACTAAAACAGCCTTTCTACTTAGCCCGGCAACAGAACATACCATCTGTCACTTTTCATTATGCATTATAAAAGATGGGATAATTGATGCCTTTGAACAGGGCATTCAGCATCTATTTTTATCTAAAGAGAAAAGCAGAGCTGCTCTCACTTATTTGGAAAGTTCAGACTCCACATTTAACCATTGATGTGTACTTTTGGATGTGAAATGACTTGAGAACTGAATTCTCACAATTTGTCTGCCAGCACATCTGGGATCAGGGCCATTCTGTATGGAGCCAAAATTGTCCACAGCTATGCCTTCTGGCACAAGAAAACAGTCACCCACACTTCACAGCACAGGCCAATTAAGCCACAGGCACAAATCCAATTTTCTCTAGATGTTTTCACAGAATAACTAGTCTGTTAATACTGCAGACAACCAGAATCGCTGGGTAATTCCCTTTTTCTTTTTCCTCAGGACAAGATTTGATCATATCATGGTGGCAACGAGGCAGAGACCTAACTTAGTACCAGTGACAATGCCAATTTGTTGCTGTCCTTTTCAGGACTTCCTCAACAGAAATGTCTTTGGCTCAGGTTCTGTCCTACACAACCCAGACTTTTGTTTTATTAGTTTGACATTTTGTTCTGACCTCTGTCAACAGCTCTGGCCTCTGGTTTAACTGCTTCTCCTTCTTACAACTAACACTCTTCTGCTTTGGGAAGACAAACTCATTGATGTGTGATCTGGGCATTCTTGCATTGCTCCATATAACACAGAAATCTTGTCTTATTCTATAACATCTCTTTTTTTTTGCCCCCCAAAAAATATATTGGGCTTCTGGCATTTCCATTTTGCTTTCGGTCCTGACATGATTACAGATTTAATATGTCTGCATAAAAAAAACAGCAAATGAATGCTGTGAACTATTCTTATGATTTTAAAGGTCTTCATGATTTTACAGAACATCTTCATACATAATTTGGTCCTCACAACAACCCTGTGAAGTAGGAATTGACATGATCATTTGGCAGAACAGAAAATGGGAAAAATGAGATATATACAGGCTTACAATTCAGATTCTGCTGCTATCTTGATGCTGTGGGTGTTAGAATTTAGTGTTAAAGCATTAAAAAGAAAAAGGGAAAATCCTGAAAAATACTCTCTTTTAACTCAGAGAAGCAACACATGGAATCAACTTGTCATCTTATATCTTTATTATTCTGAATTTTCTTCCCCATTTTAACTTACAGAAAATATCTCCATTCCTACTAAAATATTGATTATCCAGTATATATATATATATATATATATAAACATAAAATAAAAATAAATGTAAAAAACTTTCTAGAATAAAAATAAACATTGATTTTTTTCATGATCAAAATTTTTTGTTTGAATTGGATAGGCAACTATTGAAGTAATGTTTGGGCAAAGGGAGTGTGTTTATAATATGTTAAAAGTGGTGAAGAAAGCACTAGATTACTGAACATCTACCACTCCTATATGTTGTCCAACTTTGAAAGCATCATGGGTGAATTAGACTCCAACGGCTTGTCACAATGATAACCTTATGTGGCCTAACTGTGCCATATGGAGATGGTATTAAGTTAAAGTAGTTATTTTGGGTCTCATTCAAATGTGAAATTATCCAAGTTCAACTGCATCTCTCTCTCCAATACAGATATATATATATATATATATATATGTGTGTGTGTGTGTGTGTGTGTGTGTGTGTGTGTGTCTGTGTGTCTGTGTGTCTGTGTGTGTCTGTGTGTGTGCTGCTTTGATTTGGAGAATAAGAATGTAGGAAAGTGAAACAAGCAATAAAAATAAAACTATTTTTAATATACTAAGGTCTTAAGTTTATTTTCCTTCTCTCAATATCTATACAGCTCCATTCTTTTCTTTTTTGTTTGTAACTGGTATATTTATGTCTCTTAGGAGTAATTAGTTCTATAAAGTTAGAAAAGATATATTCATAGCTGTTAAGACTGGCTCCAAATAGTGCATGATAAACTTATACTAAATAATGAATGAATAAATGAATGGATGGATGGATGGATGGATGGACAGATTTTTTCCATTTTCTTCCCTATTTTTATTTAATAAAAAGGGCTTGTGCCTGAAGAAACCATATTTAACAAATATCCATTAAGCTTTTTCTTAGAACCCAGTGGGATTCTGCAAGATTAGGGGAGTGAACAGCAGAAGGTTTGAAGGAGGCAGGAACATCCCACCAGTCAGCACGTGGGGGCATGTAGGTGAAGGGTGACAGGGGATGGAGGTCGTTGTAGCAGAGAACATAATGGCACTCATGGCACTGGAGGCCCAAACAGTACTCAGGGCCAGGAGAGGAAGTCATGGAGAAGCCAGGCATGACATGGCACAGGAACCAAGGTCATTTGGAGGAGTTGCGAAAGGATCCCAGAAGTCACTTGTGTTGATGAGTTGTCCCGAGATGAAGGGTCTTTTAAGAAGATGATAGCAGATTGCTCTGCCCAGCCCACCTGATCTTAAAAGGGTCCTGCCCCAAGATGATCAGGGAGTTATACTGATCCTGATATACATATAAAAGAGGAGATCATGATTACTTATTATACTTAAATTGTGCCCAAAGTACTCAAAAATATATACTGAACTAATTCAATTCAAATTTCAAAGATCATAATTATAATGTGGAGAATTAGATAATTCATACACGATAATCTCTAGAACCATTTTGGAGGCACTTGCAAGACTTCAATGCAAAGTGCATACAACCTTTGACCTATTGTTTCTACTTCAAATAAATCCTCTATTTAACAATATTCTCATAAAATGGCATGTGGACATGTTGAATGTTGCATTGCATTACTAAAGCCAAACCGAAGCAAGTAAAAATTATTGACCTTTCAAGAGTAGGGAAATAAACAACTAATTTGTGGTAATTGTGGTGTCTCTGTAATTAGACTAATGTCTACTCACTGAGATAAAAGTGATCAAACCATACGTGGTTACATATTAAACACAGAAAACCAGGACCTATTATGTTAAATGTATAGACATATTATTTCTTCTTTTGGAGTATTTTGGAACTGCTTTACATTCTTCTTGGGGATACATGTAGAAGAATTCAGAGGCTGTATTCATAAACATAGCTCTTACTGCTTTCTCAAAGAAAGTACCAATTCCAAAATAATCATTCAAATTTGTAAAGTAAATTTCTAGATATAGTTGAAAATGTACCACAAGCACTTGGTAACTGTGGAAAACAGAAAGCACTGTGGCTTTTTAATATAAGTGCTAAAATTAGAAAAGTTTCTTAGGTGCCAAACTCAACTATGATCAGTGTTTCAAGGCTCCAAGAAAGTCTCGGGGAATGGGGATGAGATCAAGATAGTTTATATGAAAGGATGAGAAAATAAATTCAGAGACAAAGAAACATAGAATTGTAAGGGCTAGAGGACTGTAACAGATCAACTGCAATTAAATGGGACGAAAGGGAAAGGAGATAAAGGAGGCTAACAAGCATCCAACAGAGAAGTGGCCACCTGAAAGAAAATTTGGGCAAAGGGAGTGTGTTTATGTTGACATAATATGTTAAAAGTGGTGAAGAAAGCACTAGATTACTGAACATCTACCACTCCTATATGTTGTCCAACTTTGAAAGCGTCATGGGTGAATTAGACTCCAGTGGCTCGTCACAATGATAACCTTATGCAGCCTAACTGTGTCATATGGAGATGGTATTAAGTTAAAGTAGTTATTTTGTGATAACAAATTAACACTGGTTCCATATTAAAATGATGACCACACCAGCAAGATTTTGTTTTCATTTTTTTAAATAAAGATGTTACCACGATCTGTCCCAATGAGAGCCCTGATTGAGGAGACTGTGGCTATTGTTCACAAACAAAACAAAACAAACAAACAAACAAACAAAAATCTCATAACATGCATTTCACACATAAATTTTCCTGAGAAGATAGGGGAATCACTCTTTGGTTTTATGACCCCAAGTGGGGAATTTTCATTTCTCTTCACAATGATTATATTAAAGTATATTCATTCTATAAACATAAAACTTTACTTATGGCCTAGCAAACAGTTGCCATGTCAGCTGCTATTTAACATGAAATGTTTTGTATCAGAGTTTTGTGCATTTCAATGAAAAGTCTGCATTTCATTAATGATGTGAAATCTATTCCTTTGAAGGTTGGGAAGTCTTGGCTATGGTTGTCCAAATATCTCTATATGAGCTTTGGGTGAGCTTTCTTAGTATTTAAGGAGCCCGTGATTGTTTCTATTCATAGGCTTGATTTTTCTTCAGTGGATAGAAATTGACTTGAAAATTGGACAATTTTCTATGTGATTTTTTTCTTTAGAAAATAGTGCTCATCATAAAAAAAAAATCACAGACTACAAATGGGGTAATGAGTTTGAAAGAGTTGTATAATCTAATCTATTTGTTTTACTCCGATTAGCATGTTTATTTGGAGAAAAGTGAGGCTTCTACAGAAGCTCTGCAGATCAATGCTAACTTCCTCAAAATTTGTTTCAAGCCTACACCACTGACATCACAATCTTACTTTATTACAGAAACTGACACAAGAAACAAGAAGTAAAAAACTTACTTGATGTTCCTGCACTCCCCTTTTCTCCCTTTTGGCCTTTAGGTCCAGGATATCCTTCATGGGGGGGGGACAGCAAAAACAAACAAAGAAAAAATCAGTTCAACCCAAAATGCTGACATCTCATGCTCTTTCTCACCGCTCTTTTTCTCTACACTTTTTTATTTTGTGGGTTCTGGAGACTGTACCAAGGTCTATATAGCACTTGTTGTACCACTGATCCATGGCTCTAAGCACTCCAAAACTTGCTTTAAATGGAGCTAGTAAACTGCAAAATAGGATAACACTTTAGAGCACCTTACAGTTAGTGAAATATGATAATCAAGTCATGCTTGTAATAATGATGATCCAATTTGAAACTCCATTTTGAGTTTGGTATTATGCCATTTAAAATTATTTACAAGGATGTGAAATGTTCCCCAAATAGACAAAACGGAAACGTAGTATGATTTTTGCATGTTCATCCCCATTTTTTTTTCTTCTTTTTCTACGCTGGCTGCCTTTCCCCACCTTCAAGAGCCCAGCATCTTTCAATTTATCCTAAATCTTGTGCTTTTTTCCCATTGCACCTTTATTTTTCTGTCTCAGTGTTTATGCCTTTGCAACAGAAATGTCTAATGACTGTACTGACTCCTTTTTAAAAGGTTCATTGTTTTTCAAAGCTCTTGTCTAGTCACATTTGGCTATGAGAACCCCACCCATTTACACAAGCCTGAAGCTCACGTGTTGTATGAGAGTCAGCGACTCAAACTTTCAAGACCTTCTAAAGAAGTTTCTGGCCCCTAATTCACCAAACTAAAAAAAAAAAATTGTAATACAATGTATGAAATACATTGAGACTTGAAGCACTTAAACTGTATAAATTACACTTTTGAAATGAGTTAGCTTTGGGTTTTAAATGTTAAATTAATTAGCATTAATGAAATGCTAAATATTATATATCAGATACCTATGAAGAAAACTAATTTTCAAGTTTCTAATACATTTTTTCATTTCATGTGCTTTTTAGTTTTAAGTGAATTATTTTAAGTACCATTAAATTGGCAAAATAATTAAGTAACACAAAATATCCTAACATTTTAATTTTTAAAGATTACATTTCAATGAAGAAAGGTTTAAAATCTAAAATGTGAAGGGGATGGGAAGGGTTAAAGATGTTTATGATTGATTGAGTTTATTCTTCACAGAGGAGTCACATTATAAAACTCGATTTCAAAAATTCTGCTTGAATTTGGTGCTGAGAAGGGAAGAAGAAATGCACAACCGCTGAGTGTTTCTGTAGAGCAATACCTTCCCACGTGTGCCATACAGAAGAGGACCGGAGCCCTAAGGACACCCTGTGATCTGCCAGGCCAGGCTGTCGCAGCCTCTCCTCCAGGCTCCTGCCATCTATGGGTGTATTTCCTGCCTCCATAGCTTTCCCTTTTCCAGAGGTGAATACACAGTTGAAATCATCAACTTTATAGTATTTTCAGATTAGCTTCCTTGAGTTGGCAATCTTCATTTAAAATTTCTCCATATCGTTTTGTGGCCTGGTTGTTTATTTCCCTCTGTCACTGATTATGATTGTGTTTTCTCCCTTCTTCACAGTTTGTTTGTGTATTCAACATAGAGAATGTTGGTGGGAGGTAGGATGGAGAGCTCAATGTGTTTAGGTGGATCGCTGAATAGCCTTGGGACTGAGACACTGTTCTTTAATGCTGACGAAGATATAATATTGTATACTTGTCAGGCCCCACACAATATGGGACGGAAAGAGTATGTTTCCTAATGAACTCAATAGACTTGTTAGCAATGATGAACCACTGTTGGTTTAATACTTGTGTCAAATGTCCCCTCAGGGCAAGGTGTTGCACTTGCTGTGCACTTGCTGAGAGGTGTATGGGAACAATCTGCTTGCTCTGATGTGTTCCTATAAGCCCAGGACTACTCTCAGAGTTGTATCTATTAAACCTACCTTAACAGTATGGACTGTGCTCTCCTGGTGTTACTCCCATTTAAGCATGGGGGGGAAAAGCTTATTCTCTACTAATGTTGCTGTATGAAGAACACAATTCAATATCTTCTGTTCATGTAACCAGTGGCAGTAACAATTACTACCTGTGTAGAAGCTGAAATGCTGACCAGTGTTGGTGATTATTCACTAAGAAATAAGAGGAACTCACTTCTTTTGTTATGAATATTTTTTTCAGCTGAGACTTACTTGGCCAGTTGTGTTTAAAAATCTATTTGTACTGCTTCCTTTTCTTAGGAGTCATTCTACTCTCCTTACTTCAGTGTAGACAGTATCCTTCATACGGAGCTATGACTGTGCAAAATGTGTAGATCCTGCGTGTGGGTGTGTATTGATATGATGCTTGTATAGAACTATTTTCCTTTCAGGTATAGATTTTTTTTGTGTGTGTGTGTGATGTGCAAAACTTGATTTTAAATGATTTTAGACTATAAAGTTAAGTATGAGAGTGCTGCTATTTATACTGAGGAAATTCTTAGTTATGCAAATATTTAGAATAACCATTGGTAATCCAGTGTTTGTTTGCTTATTCTATTATGACAACATGCATAGCATTATAATACCTGATCTCCCCGCCTTTCCTGGTGCTCCGGGGTATCCCCGACTTCCCTGGAAGCCAGTTAGTCCCCGATCACCTTTAAGACCTGGAAGACCTGTGTTGGTTAATAAAGAAAACAACAATGTCTGACAATTTATTTTTGAACACATTTGAGCACCCAGTAAGTGAAGTAAGTGGATCTTTAAGGAGATTATGACATCTTTCCTAGCATTCATGCATTCAATTGAAAGATAATATTTTTAAAATGGCTTACACATATTTCACTGAGTATGTTATAGATAATTAATAAAATGCAGATTGTCAGTAAACTATTAAACACTATTTTTTAGCTTTAAACAGAAAGTTACTATAATCAACTAGAAAATTTTGAGTGGCAGGTATTTCTATAGCCAGGATGATGAAATTTTGAAACTTGAATTTTTAATTTTCACATTAGTAAAAACACGATACATGCCAAAAGAAGTATCCTTAGTGTTTTTATAACAACACACTTGAATTACTAATGTCTATGAAATACATATATATATATATTCAGATTTTTAAAATGAAATCTAAAAATTACATTATTTTGCCTCATATCTCTAAGGTGACTATGAAAACTCCACACAAAGGAAAAAAAAAAAACTACTACTATGGAATAAACATTTATTGTTGAGCTAAGCAAGTTAACATAAGCTAACATAAAACAGTATGTGTCCTGTTTTGCATTGTTTCCAGTATTATTATCAGTTCACTGAGACTCCACTAACACAATGTTCATTTGGATGGTCCTTGGAGGCACATTAGGAGAAATTGATCATACTTCTTTCTTCCCTGTCAAACTTTACAAATATTTTCTTTGTTTACAAGATCCACGAAGCAGAATTTACATGTATCTAATCTACCGAAAAATATTTTCTGTGAATTTATAGGCATACATGCAACCAGATAAATTGTCTTCCAAGAAATGTTAAGGTTAAGAAATATACGATGACAAATAGATAAGAGCTATTATTCAACTCATTACAAAACTGTGATTCCAACAGAAATCAAGCATATAATCTAAATAAGCGGTGTTATATAGTAAAGGTGAGCCATTATAAATCAGCGTCCTTATGCAACTAATACTACTTTTATATGAACTACTTTATATATACTATATTATGGATACCAAATGTTCATGTTTTGTAGTGTTTGTTCACTGGATTGTTAAAGTATGTGAGTTGAAATGGCTTAAGTTATTCAACCAGAGTAAACTAATATTTACACCTTCTTACATCATGCAGCCAGACATGTGAACTTAAGTTATTGGGAAATGTGGTTCATAGCGAAGAGGCCCTCTAAAAGGCTGTGATAGCAAAGGGTTGGTGGTGTGCTTGAGAGGTAAAGGGGATCTCAAAGGGCACAGATCTCATCCATGGATTCATCACCTATCAGAGCAAGACTATACTATCAGAGCAATACTACCAGAGCAAGACTAATAGGACATAACTTATCACTCTGTAAGCTTCATGAAAGCACACTATACCTTCTTCCTTGTTCTCCATACAGTATCACGTGCAGCAAGTGCCCAGTGTGTATTTTTAGAGTAAACAGCAGTAGCACATTCTCTCAATATATTTTCATGGGACTGGTACTATAAAATGATTTTCTATTATATTGTCTTAAAAAAGCGCATTTTAATCTATTAGGTACTCCAGAGAATATATAATGATTATAATGCATTGCCTATTCAGGGACCCTAGGGTAACCACTAAAGTTTATAAGATATTTATATCATGGCCGTGGGAGTAGGTGTCTGTTAAGCTGAATTTAATGAGTTAAATGGCAGTATATATGGGCTTATGAAAGTGGAAGCATTATGATTGATCTCCATCTATATTTTAGTTCCTAATTTTGCTACAACATTTGAAGCAACAAGATAGAAAAATGAACAGAATACAGAAATTAAATGATAAATCTTACTTTGTCTTGCAGTTTGCATAGTTTTTGTTGTCGTGGATCAGATCAGAGAGTAACATTCTACTTGAAAGGGTTATCTACCAAAAACTATAATTAACTGTTATATGAGGGAACTGCATAGTGTCTAGTTATGCAAATGATCAGTGTCATTGGAAACCAACCAAACCCTTGTTTTTATCATTTATCTTGACTGCCAACTTGATTGGATCTGAAATTTGACTAAATGAGAAGCCCCTGTGCGTGTGTCTGGGGCACAGGGTCCTGTGAGGGCAGGTCTAACAAGAATTAACTGAGGGGAAACCCCCTCTCCTAGAATGGGGTTTCTTTCCAGCAACAGCACAGTCATAAAATAGCATTGAGGATTAAACAGTTCTGCATGCTTTATGACTTTGCCTCTTGCTGGCAAGTGTTTATCCTGCTGTTATGGCTACTGCTCTGCTGCTGTTGCTGCTGCTGCTGTGGCTAGCATTCTTTGCTAACAGCGGACTCCGGCTTCTTGAGTTTCTACCATAAACTGAAGAACAGCTACTCTGCAAGAATATCCCAAGCTTTTAACACCAAATTAGGTCAGCTGAAGCAGTCAGCATTATGAACTCAGTAACCAACCAGTTCTCTGCCTACCCAGTGTGAAAACAAAGTTGTTGGATTATCAGCCCCTATTGTATAAGCCAACCTAATAATTCTCATTTTATAATATTCATGTTTCTGTTTCTCTGTATAACTCTAATTAATTTTGTAGGAGACACAGTGTATTAGTTTAACATGATGTCTGTTTATACTGGTGACAAAAGATGAAAGTTTCAAATATCAATCTATCTCACATATGCACAGTGCAGAAACAGCTGAAATAATGCTTTCAAGGTGATAGTTCGTAGAGCAAGACATGGGATTCACTGACTTTCTATGCTTGTACTAGATGGCTCTAGCAATTATGCTTCATGGTTGGGAGCAGTTTCTTACAGATCTTTATGACAGCAACTTTGACAAATACAATAATGTTGGCTGCTTCTCCTACTTAAAATATGAATGCATTTTTTCTCAAGATGAGTAGAGCCTTCAAAAAATTAGAAGGACCTTGCTGGATAGAAACACTTATCTGTCACTAATGTCAAAAGCACACACTCACTGCCTTATAGAAAGATTAACACACACTATTTATAGCTATAGGTTTATAAGATAAATGATATAAAGTTTTTGACATATTTAAAAAAATAAGTACTTTTCAGGTAGGTGTTATTTAGCTTTGGGTATTTTTCCTCATGTAACTTCAGTTAGTCAAAATATTTATGAAAAGAACACTTTATTTCATCTAAGAGAAAAACTAAGATGGAGTCCACAGTACTGAGGTAAATGTTGGGTCAGTTGGCCTTTCTAATTATATTTTGACCATTTAGTCTACTTTGAAACAGTGTGCATGGAATTTGTTTTCAAAGCATGATATTTGGATAGCATGATAATCACATTACTGTTACTGTTGGTTTCATTTTTTGAACAAAGATAGTCCATGCTTTCTCTCCTTTTTGTGGCTTCCATTACCTTCTTCCAAAACACTGCTTTTAAGACTACAACATAGTCAGAGAAAAATAATTTGGAACAATTTTTCTCTAAGTAAAATACAATACAGAGAGTGGCTGAAAGCCACGGGGGTAGGGTGGGGGGGAGGAATTAGTCATAGTCTTGACTTTATTTACTTTCCCATTGAGTGGGTTTAAGGAGGAATAGTGTAGTCAAGAAATATGTAAGAACTATATTCTATTTTTTGTGATGTTAATATATCTCTATATTGAAAAATTATAGCTTGAAAATCAAACCAACATGGAGGTGATTTTTTTTGTTGTTCTTTTTTACACATTGCCTTATGTGTACTATTTATTGTATGTAGTATCTCCCAGAACCCTTCAGGCTCATCAAGTCTCATGTAATAACTCTGACTAAAGCATTAAATAGTCTACAGAAACAGTAATTAGTGTTTGGGCTAGAGAAATGACTCAATAGTTAAGAGCAATGACTGCTCTTCCAGAGGACCCATGTTTAATTCCTGGGACTATAACGGAACTTAATTTGTATGTAACTTAAGTTCTTCCAGATCAGGTACACTCTTCATGTCTCTGAGGATACCAGGCATACATATGATGCATAGACATATGTGTGGCAAAAAAAATCCATACATATAAAATAATACATACTTTAAAGTGAATTAGTGCTTTCCATTCAATGTAAAGATTTATAAACATACACACACAGAGAAAAGATGAAATAGCTATTTTTCCCTAAGTACAAACATGAATACATATCACTCAACTTTATAGTATATGATGAAATGATCACTATATCTTTACCTCTTAAACCTGGAGTACCAGGTGGACCAACTTCTCCTCTGAGTCCTCTGTCTCCTTTTTCGCCTCGGGGTCCAGGAGGCCCTTTAAAAAAATTACAATTACTGAGTATAATGAAAAAGAATTTGTAAGGTTTTTTTTTTTATTTATCAAGACAGTTATATGAAAATCCAAAGATTTCTGTTTGCTGTGCATTAACACAAAATGAATAACTCTGATATTTCTAAATGCCTAAGTACTCTGTTGTTGAGAATTGTAAGAGTTTCATCTAAGAAAGATGTCACCACCTTAAATTAAATCACTTAAACGTGTTAAATATTGTTGTGGGTTAACACTTCACTGGGTTCTCAGAACTGGTAGCAGAGAAAGAGATACTGTAATGGTACAAAATGTCATCAATGTTGTGCCCAAAGTAAAAACTTATATATATATATATATATATATATATATATATATATATATATATACACACATACACTGAGTGTGTGAATGGGTGTGTCCCAAGAAATTAAAGAAATGGATACCATAAATTTGTAAGACAGCAAGTAGGGCATAAGGAAACAGAGGGAGAAAATAAAATGGGAAAATTAATGCAATTAAATTTTGAATAAAACATCTTTAAAACAATAAACTATATGTTGATAAAACTAAGACATTCTTTTTCTTGGTAGAATGAGTAAAATGTAGAAAGATCATGTAAACATGTAGACCAATTGCAAGTGTGATACAACATACAAAACTGGGAAATGATGTTTTACATTAGGAGTTTTAAGAGAGATATTAATATATCTTATTCAAAATATGTGCAAGAAATATTAGGAAGATTTGTGGATAGTCTTCACATAGCAAAGAGAACAAGAAACAAGTGAAAAATAACTTGGAAGAAGAAATTAGTTGAAGAACAACGCAATTTACAAAAAGACTAGAAAAAAAACAAAATGCAAAAAATAATGAATTAGAGCTTAATGGACATGGGAGATAGAATGAGTTAGTCCAATTTTCCTTTGGTTACAGCTACAGAGGAAAAAGAGAGAACTGTGAAGAATTCAAATGTAAAGGGAATGGAATTAGGAACTATATTGACGCTTACGAACTTGAGTTTAATTTTCAGAAAGAAGAAAAGAAGGAAGGGAGGGAAGGAGTGGGTGAAAAGGGAGGGAGGAAAGAAGGAGAGAGAGTATGAGAATGGAAAATGTCAAGGAAGTGATCATAGTCTTAAATTAAATTTCTTGGAAGTAAAACAAATGTCTAATCCAAAAATTCTCCACTTGAAGTCCCAGTTAGTCAGATCAGAGACATTACAGAGACAAGAAGATTGAGAGTAAGGAAAACCAAAATCCACAGGAATACTTTCTCCAAAAGATACCATGACCCCTTTTTGTCACATTCTACACCTACAGCTTTAAGCAATATTCCTGGAATAATATTAAAAAATACAAACAAAACCAGAGAGCTAACTGGAGTTCAGTGATAAAGTGCCATTCCAGTCTGTAAAGGAGCCCCAGGCTTGATCTCTACACAGAAGGGGAGAAAATAGCATCTGCGTAAACATGCTTGTTACATTCTTCTCTTCATTCCTTTAGAGACACTGGACAGCAACTATCACACTGCATTTTTTCTTAGTTACACTAACTCACTCATCAGTCATTCAAAGTGTACACATAAAGAGTAAATACTGGGCCATTTAATCAGACAGATGGGCATCCACAGATGTTTGGTATTCAGAAGCCAAATATCCATCAATTATTCTTCTCATAAAATAAACAATAATTGTGGACATAAAACATGTGTAGGAAGTAACACATCCACAGAAACTAAGAACGAACAAAGAAAATGATATCAAGATCATACCATTGATTTTCGGTAAATGAAGTTCCAAAAGATTTATTTCATACAGAAGAAAACGACCCAGAAGAGAAGAGTGATACAGATTTTAAAGGACTAATTGGCTATATGAATAAGTTCCTTAATAAAAAGTAAAATGAATAACGTAGGCTAAACTCTTGTTTTAAAGGTTCACAACATAGAAATGGACTGTACCCGCAAACAGAGGGCACCAGGAAGTATGTTGCAAGGCAAAACACTTTCAGTTCCCTATACAACTCAGTTATCTTTTAGGATTCTGACTGGTATTGACATATATTACCACATTTCAACAGCAATGTTGACATGAGTAGTATTCCATAAAGTTTCCAAACTTTTTTAATTTTTTTTACATTTTAAATTCTGTTTTATTTTTTAATTAACTTTTTATTTTTTAATATTAGTTATAGTTTATTAACTTTGTATCTCAGCTGTAGTCTGTTCCCTCATTCCCTCCCAATCCCATCCTACCTCTCTCACCTCCTCCCTGCCCCTTTCCAAGTCCACTGATAAGGGAGGACCTCCTCCCCTTTCATCTGACCCTGGTTTATCAAGTATCTTCAGGCCTGGCTGCAATGTTCTCCTCTGTGGCTTAACAAGGTTGCTCCTCCCTTAGGGGAGGGGGAGGGCAAAGAGCCAGCCACAGAGTTCATGTCAGAGACAGTCCCTATTCCCCTTACTAGGAAAACCCACTTGGAGACTGAGCTGCCATGGGCTATGTCAGAGCAGGGGTTCTAGGTTATATCCATACATGGACTTTGGTTGGAGAAGCAGTCTGAGAAAAGATCCCTGTGCCCAGATATATTTGGTCCTTGTGGAGCTCCTGTCCTCTCCAGGTCATCTTAATTCTCACTTCTTTCATACGATTCCTTGCACTCTGCCCAAGGTTTGGGTTATGAGTCTCAGCATCTGCTTTCATACACTCCTAGGTAGAGTCTTTCAGAGGCCCTCTGCAGTAGGCTCCTGTCCTGTTATTTGTTTTCTCCAAACTTTCTTTGGTAACTTTAAAGAAGAAGTAAATTCAATAAAAACAGTCAATACCAACTACAGAAGAGACAGAACAAGAAAGCAAGAGATATAAATCACGATGGAAAAATATAACAAAACAAAATTAAGTAGCAGAAGTAGATACTGGAAAAGAAGTTGTTAGATTGTGTTTTTAAAAATAAAATTTTTTTTCAGGAGATAAGCTTTCAAAATGTGCACCAGAAAGTTAAAACTTAGAAAAGACCCACAGAGTGAAAAGAACTATGTTCTAATATATTGATGCTATAAATGACTTATTCTTGTTAAAAAGAAAATCAGTAAGATTCATGGAACTGAAGAGAATATTGATATATCTATGATTACTTTGAAGAGTTCAAGAGGTGTTTTTATTTAAAGTATTGTCAGGTAAGAAGTGAACAGCCATATCATGCTCATATGGTCTTCTCTGTTTTGTTTGTTTGTTTATTTTGTTTTGAGGCAGGCTGTCACTATGAAGCCTAGTCTGACCTCAAACTTGTGGTAACCTCCTTCCTCAGCCTCCTATTGCTGAGTGACCTTCTCTGGCTTTTAGCTTCTCTTTAAGAAATTTTATTTCAGTGACACTAAAAGCACCTCACTGGGCCCAATATCAGGACAAAACAAAGAAGTAAAGGGATTAAAATTTGTATTACATTTATTTATTCATATGTGTGTTCATGTGTCCACATGTGCTATGACTCATGTGTGGTGTCAGAAAATAATTTGTGAGAGCTGGTTCTCTTTTTCTACCATGGGGGTCCCAGGGATTGAACTCAGGTCATCAGGTTGGAGTCAAGTGCTTTTATCCACTGAGACACGTTTTTTAAAAATTGCTTTTAAAATTTCCTATATGTGTACTGTGTTTACATTACTGCCCCCTTCCTCCATCCAGTCCCTCCTGTGTGGTTTCCCTCTCTGTTCCCTCTCAAATTCATGTCTTATTGTTCACTAATTATTGTTGTTAAACATGTATACATATATGTATAAATACATAAGACAACCTTCTGAGTTCGAAAGAAAGAAAGAAAGAAAGAAAGAAAGAAAGAAAGAAAGAAAGAAATTTTAGCAGATACTGACACTCATAACCAAACCTATGGCAGAGTATAGGGAATCATATGAAAGAAGGGGGAGTTTGTATGACATGGACAGGAGCTCCACAAGGACCAAATATATCTGGGCACAAGAGTTTTCTATGAGACTGATACTAAACCAAGGACCATGCATGGATATAACCTAGAACCCCTGCTCGGATGTAGCCCACGGTAGCTCAGTCTCCAAGTGGGTTTTCCTAGTAAGGGAAACAGGGACTATTTCTGACCCGAACTCCGTGGCTGGTTCTTTGCCCTACCCCCCACCTGAGGGAGGAGCAGCCTTGCTAGGCCACAGAGGAAGACTTTGCAGCCAGTCCTGAAGATACCTGATAAAACAGGGTCAGATGAAAGGGGAGGAGGTCCTCCCTTATCAGTGGACTTGGAAAGAGGCAGGGAGGAGATGAGGGAGGGAGGGTTTGGAAGGGAATGAGGGAGTGGGATATACAGCTGGGGTACAGAGTTAATAAATGTAACTAATATTTAAAAAAATAAAATAAAATAAATCAAAATAAAAAAAGAAATTTTAGGGCTTGGGTGGCCTTGCCACACTTAACCCCATGTTAAACTGTCTTCTGTGGATCTGTAGTAACTGAAGCCTCAAAAACCATTTACTTTCAATGATAAAATTTCAAATACTAAATTTCTGTACAGAACGACACATTTTAACATCTCATTTTTCAGGACGAGAGGTTTTACCTTGAATTGAGGTGATATTTTTCAGTGTCTGTGAGTGTTCCCAGTCCTTCAGTCTGAGGTCATTGGTGATGTTATTCAGTGCTTTCACTTCCTGTTTTATTTCCTGTTCCACGTGCTCTTGTTCTTCTTTCACAGACTGAATATCTGCTGATACTTTGCCCACTCGTTCCTCTAACTTACTGATATCCTAGAAAACACAGTAAACATCTCAGCTTTGTTACACACAATTGGAAAAATATGTAATTGTACAGAGTTTTTGAAATATGGGTGTCTTAAACACACATAGCCTTGGGAGAGTGTTAGAGGATAAGAATAAGAAAATGAGTGCTCAAAGTTCTTTGGCTGCAATGCATTTGTTAAGATCCCTACTCAAAACAAACAAAATCAGTTGGCAAAATAGCTAAGAATGCTTCTTCTCTCAAATATACACATATCACATACTGAAAAATAAAAACAAAAAAATCATGTCATGGGGGTTTAATTTATTTAAAGTGTTTTTTTTTTTTGTTTTGTTTTGTTTTTGTTTTTTTTTTTTACCGTGTATTTGGGGTAAAGCATTTGTATTTTCTGAAACTGTTTTACAGTAACAAATGAAGTTTAAGGCCATTCTCACCATTCTCAGTGATAATTTAGTAAGAAAGGTTTCAGGTTCAGTAAGATGTCCAAGTTGCATTTTCATCATATTTTACTCTCAAATTTTATTGCCTATGCTTCTGATGCTTTCTTGTTTATTTTTATTAGTTATGAATACACTATATATCGATGTATGCTTGCATACACATACACAGTGTGTATTGCTTTTTTCTTTTTTTCATATTTCTTTGGGATAGGATCTCCTATATGTCTTGGCTTTAAATCTGTTATTTATTTAAGGTTGATCTTCAACTGCTGATTCTCTTTCCCTACTTTCACAGTGATGAGATTACAGACATGTCCTACCATTCATTATTCATAGAGAGAAAGAGTGTAAACAAGAGAGAAGACTGTTTCTCTTTCAAATCAATGTGTGGCCTGTCCTCGACAGGCGGTATGGTGGTGCTCCTTAATATGTCCTTTTTTCTTAGAAAGCCTTTTCTGATTTGTCCATGCATTAAATTTGCTTATTTTCTCATTGGGATAAAGATTTTAAGATAGCAAGCACAAGACCAGCAGATTAGAGTGCTCAGCTACCACGTGGAGAGGCCTCGGTTGTGACGCTCCCTTCACTCTGGTGGGGAATATCATCCTAACACTATGATTTAAAGTTTAATTTTTTTCTGTGCATTAATGTAAGCATTCACTCACATACTAGCCCTCACTCATTCATTTCTAAATTCTGTTAAGTGAGAAATTGTCTTTCCAATGTCTGCAGCTTTGGAACATTTATAATGTACTTGTATTACCTTTTGTAATTGCCCCCAAGTTAACAGTATACTCTAGCCAAACCCCAAACCACCCTTTAGATCATGAAACATACACCCCATTTCTACTGGCTTTAATACTTTACCCATGTGACATTCTATCTTTTTTTTTTCTTTTTGTGAAATTTTATTATATCCAGTATTTAGTAAAGAAAAAAGCAAAGGGTAAGAAATATTTTGGCTGTTATAATGTCATTTGCTAAAATGGGTGATAAGTTAGTATATATATTTTTAATTTCATCATGACAATTTATAATAGCTGGATGCTACTGTTGTTTTTGCTCCCCCCCACTCCCAACTCATTTATTCATTTATTCATTTATTCACTTCATAGCCCAGTCCCTGGAACTAGCACATTACTAAAACAAGTCAGTCTTGTTCCTCCATTTTATTCTTTGCCCCTCAACATACTCCCATGAACCTATTTTGTTCTGTCAGCTTCCATACAAAATAAGACTCCTTTTTCTCTGTCTCTCCCTCCAACTTAATCAAGTCTACTCTTACAACTGATACTTCATCCCTCTATTTTTCCCGTATATGTTCCTTACACCTATAGTTGGATGTTTGATTACCATTTTCTTTTACAATCCTACCATTCATCTGAATACTTGATAAGCCAATCATATGTGATATGCTTAGCTACTAATCAATAATGTGGGAAACACGGAAATTCATAATTTTGGATGTCAAATGTAAGTGAAGCAGAATCTCCAGGCTACTTAAGATGAGGTTGCCCATGGTGAAACCACTGTGCCATTAAAGGAGTAACATGCTAAAGTTAAAAACTTTGGAACAACTAAAACTTACAAATTACAAATATGCAAATCTTTCTTTTTTAATAAGTCTATGCTTAGTCAATAATTTAATAGCTTTAATCAAGTAGAGTCATTTAATTTTTGTTCTACAATGGACATCCATTTAAGATGTTTTTAAAAATTGTGTGTGCATGATACATGTGTATGTATGTATATATGGTGTGTATGTGTGTTTATATGTTCTGTGTGGTGGTGTACACCTGCCACATTGCTTATGTGGAGGAGAGAAGACAAACTTTTGTATGATTCATTGCCCTCCATCTTGGTTGATAAAGATACTCTTGAAGATAGCTGGTTTGTGAGTTTGTGGAGACTCTCATGTCTCTGTTTCCCATCACACCTATAGGCGTGCGAGGATAATTGATGTCTGCTGTTTTATCTGACCTTGTGGGGGTTCTGGAAATACGTGCAGTCTCCAGTCTCACACTTATCCATCAATGTTGATTGACTGATCTATCTCTCAACTTTTAAAAGACCTTTCCCCATACTGGAAACCTACTTAACAACTCAATGCTAATGAAATCATGGTTATCAGAGGACACACTAACCTATCAAACAAGCAAAATCACGAACAACAATCTACAAAGTCCTTATATGGTCTATAGGGTCCTCATATGAACTATAACTTTCCTTATGATTTATAAAATCCTTATGCCCACTGAGAAGTGTAGTCTTCAACTGAGGATAGCTGGGAGCAAAAGAGATGGTCTTCCCCAGGAAAAGCACTCCAATTGGTTGAGCAAGACAAATAGTCAGTCTGAAAACATAATTACAGTTAACATTATAAAGACTGAATAGGTTATATTTAGGAATCCATATGAATAAACATATATGCATGCAACAAAAATTAGTGAAAAGGGGGGCATGGATTTGAAAGTGAGGAGGTAAGGATATAAATGGCTTGAAGAGAGGAAAGTAAAGGAGAAATCTAATAATTAAACTTTGATCTCAAAATAAAATTAAATTATACCTGGATACAGGGGTCTTTTCTGAGATTGATTCTCCAACCAAGGACCATATATGGATATAACCTAGAATCCCTGCACAGACGTAGCGCATGGCAGCTCAGTACCCAAGTGTTCCCTAGTAATGGGAACAGGGACTGCGTATGGCATGAACTCAGTGGCTGGCTCTTTGTCACCCCCCCGCCCCCACCAAGGAAGGAACAGCCTTGCTAGGCCACAGATGAGGACATTGCAGAGAGACCTGATGAGACCTGATAGGATAGGGTCAGATGGATTGGGAAGAGGACCTCCCCTCTCAGTGGACTGACAGAACAGCAGGGAGCAGATGAGGGAAGTTGGGTGGGATTGGGAGGGAATGAGAGAGGGGGCTACAGCTGAGATACAAAGTAAATAAAATGTAATTAATATAAAAATAAAAAATTAATTAAAAAAGTACTTACTATTGTAATAATGTTCTGTTTGCTTACTTGCTTGTTTGTTTTGTATTGTTGGGTTGAACCCAGGACTGAACCCAGAATCTCGTCTGCTCTCCTAGAACTGTACCACCAAGCTAGTTCTTCAAACAAACAATATCTAATCTGGAAAATAACTTCATTAAGAGGAAATTTTGTTCATCTTTTATTTTTAAGATTGCAATTGTGTTTTGCCCTTCCCTGTATTACATACAAACCCTCCCTGCTCTACTTTAAACTCAACAATTACTGAAAAAAAAAGAAGCCATCTATGACTTTGAAGAATAATCTTGTACAAGGAAAATCTACTCCAATAATTCTGATATTGTTTGATGAGAAATAGTTTTCATATAAAGATTCCATGTCTTATATATTTTATAATATGCAGATTTTTTAACACAGGTAGTGAAGTTTTAGCCAAATACTTATTTCTTATGAAAAGAAATAAATGGAATTACTCAAAATATAAAATTATAAAACAACTGTTTGGGTTTTTTAAGTTTTTTATTTTCCTTTTGTTCTTAATTTCTTTTTCAGGAGGAAAAAATTAATCCTGATCTTATGAAAGATTAACGATAAAATAATCTAGAATGGAGGTCATAAATTATAGTACATGGGCCAAGTTTAATCCACAAACTAGTTTCATAAATAAATATTTATCAGATTTTAATCTTTGTTCATATGTCTGTGTGCCTCAAGTAGTTGCTTCTGAACTGAGTCATTTCACACTTCACATAGTCTCTTTGGTCTAAGTTTTTTTCATCTTACCTACAAGGGATCTTTACTGACAACTTTTCTAAAGTATATTTTTCTTGACAGTCGTACAAGGGATGGATACGTGATCTGATTAAGGTACTGCTTTTTGTGTGGCTGTGTGTTTTGATGGCTAATGCATGCCATAGCTTGAACAGAAGTGGAACACTTAATACATAATCAGTCTTATGATGATTATAGGTGTACATTGTTATCCTACAAAGAACTCATGCTAAAAATGTGTTTATGTTATTCCAATTTTAATTGTAGCTGTCAGTGGGATAAAACTTGTGCATAACTTCTAGAAATTGCAAAATAAATTATCTTAAAATTTTACTTTGTAATACATCCATGTAAATAAATTTTATATTACTTTGATGGTGAAGGAATATTAAATTGATCATAAAATTCACACATAGGGATTCACCTCTCCACATATGCTCGGTAATCTAAATCTTATAATTGGCACAGTGTAACAAGGCAATAAATATTATTTATAGTATAAAACCACCTTAATATTCTAGATCCAGTGGAAAATAGTTTACTTCCTCTGGACGACTGGTAAGGGCACTAGTTAACTCTATAGAGACCTTTTACTGAAGTGCCAGAAGAGGAGAGGTAAGTAGATGAGGTAGAAAAAGGTTTATGCATTCTGCTTTGCTGAACTGCCTAAGGAAATAGAATCTGGATTATTTTAGTTACAGAATACCACCATGCTGCTGTGTTCTGAGATGCTTACCTCCTGTTGCTTGACTGTAAACTCAATGACTTTGAGATTCACTGTTTCTGTACGGAGCTGGACTTCAAGCAGTGTGGTATTGAGAGTCTGCAAGGACTTGGAGATTTCATCTAGTGAGTTCCCATGTTCCTGGACTGATGAAATCAAGGAATTTAACTGCATAAGAATATCATCAAGTCTTTGGTTGGTTATCATGCTGAAATTCTGGAAGCGTTCTGCATCCACAAGGCTGTCTCTTGACTCTGAAATGCTTTGGATTTTCTCTTCCATGTCCTTCATGTGTTCCATGACAACTGTAAATCTCATTTCAACTCCACTGGTGTTTTCTTTTCCAATCGGACTTTGAGATGTATCACTTGTGTTAATTGATCCAACTAGGCAGTTCTTCATTTCCCAATTCATAAGGTGAGCTGAATATTCAAATAAAAATAAGTCAAATCATAGCCTATATCTTTTTGTGCTCATCACTCCTTTTTTTTTTTGTCTCTACACTCCATTCTATGAAAGTCTGTTTAATGCCAGCCTAAATTAAGAATTTATTTTACATTGATCAGACTCAGTATGTTATTACAAATCAGTCTCTTTAACCCTTTTTATGTTGGTATTTATCCTAGTATAGATTATTTCTTTTGATTTGGTACTTATTAGTCTTCTTGGCCATTGCATTTTCTTTGACACTTAGAGATAATTCTAACTACTGAAATATATTGGACTCTACTCCTTGGACCATGTAAAAGTGCTATCTGTTTCAATAGAGGCTTAGGCTAAGTGGAATAAAAATTTAGATCTCAGCACAGACAGCTTGCATCAATGAAAATTCTACTAATTACAAAGTGAATTATACATGAAAGAATATCTTAGAGAATCCTTGCAGCTACCACCTTCGGGGAAAGAAATGTCTGGTAATTATTATTTATATTAACAATAAGTGTTATAGGTTCTTCAATGAAAAAAAATAAGTTATATCTCTGTGTTTATTCTTCTGTGATGTTAGCTTATTGAATTTAGTAATGTATCAATGACAAGAAATTGATATTATCTACGACAGGGACCACAGTTTTTGCATGTCAGTAATTCTATATTTCTTAATCCATCAATAAAGTGGGATTATAAGTATATTTACTCCCCACAAATCATCATATTTACTAAATTCAGAAGGAGAACCAAGGCTTTATGCAGTCATCAATTTAATGTTTTGTTTATTGAGCACCAAAGGTGTGAAACGTCATGTGAACAGTTAGGAAGAGAAATTCATCCCTTATCAAGGAATCATCTCTTTGGAACAAACAGAGACCACTTCAGGAAAACACAATCAATTATTATTCATAAGTAGATAGCCTCAGTGCCAATGGATATTTTTACAAAACACTCTCACACTTAAGGCTCAAGGAACATTGCAAAAAAGTAAGTGTAAAATTAATAAGAACCAGAAGATTAGGGACTTTTGCCTACCTGGGTCTCCTAGTAGCATCAGATAGACAATACACCTGTAAAGTCCTACCCATGTGACTTCCCAACCATGCGCTGAACAAAGATGACACAAAGTAAATAAGTAAATTAAATAACTACAATTTAAAAATAAAGATGACTTTATGATAATATAGCTAGATAAAGAATGCCACAAAGACAACACCAAAAAACATACCAACTGCACAGCAAAAACCCCACAAGGCTCCAGTCCTACACAAAAAACTACAGGAAACTGAGGAAAGCTGGGATTAGGACAAGTGCCCGTTTCCAGGAAAAACAACAACAACAACAACAACACAATAATTGTTTTTCCATTGCCAAATGATCAGACCTGAAAACATACATACAAGTAATTTTATATAGGTGCAACAGGTTACATTATGAATACACACACACACACACACAAATGCATATATGTATGCAAGAACAACTGATGAAAAAAGAGACCAGGATTTGAAGGAAAGCAAGGATGTAGGAAGGTTTGGAGGTAGAAAAGGAAAATGAGAAATGTTGTAATTAAAATATAATTTTAAATTTAACCAAAGAAAACAGGCAAGAAAGAGATTTTTGTCTTTAAGAATAAGAAACTTAAATAAACAGCAAATGAAAAATTGTTTCAGAATTACACCATAATGAACACTGCTTCACTTAACCAGCAGTTAAGACACAAAATATTTGAGTGGAATAGCTTGGATTAACATATCTGACTCTGCCTTTTATGAGAAGTGTTGGTGGACTAGTTACTAATTTCATGTTTCTATTTTACCAACTTTGTAAATAGAATATTAGTACTATTATTAATAACAAATAAATATATAAAAACTATATAAACTATTAACTGAGATTAATAAACATTTGATGTTTCAGGATTGATGTGTGTGTTATCTTCATTCATGATAATGATTAATTACATTACAATTATAAATTATTATCTATTAACTACAAATATTATAAACATATTATTTAACATTGTTTAATAAAATATACTAAATCAATTTGTGTATTATATAATATAAAACCATTCTTGCGGTAGGTTGTGTCCATAAACAAGCAGTTTCTACTTTATTTTATTAGACCTATGCCTTTCTTGCTTCACCATAGAATTTTACTTGAAAACAAGCTTTATTTTATATAGTTAAACAAATGTTCATCATCACATATAAAAGAGATTTGATTTTGAAAAAGGTAATTTGAACTATGATTTTAATTTGACAAGGTAGACATGAGTTGAGAGTGAAGGTTGTACTAATTTTAAAAACATAACTATTCCTTGTTTTCTTAATCGTAAATGCCAGACACATGGATTTTTCACTAGCTTTATATTTGACGTCCTATAATCAGCAAAATCTTTGACAAATCTATAAACCTATGTAACCTAAACCTTCTCTGGAAAGAAGCCTCCCCACTCAGTAGTACCCTCTATCCTCTGGACAGTTGATTTTCATGTCAACAGACACATCTAATAGGAATTTGCAGAAAAGTAACTCATAGGAATACTAACATACAAATTGTTCAAGGCATTCTCTTTCTTGCTCTCATTAACATATTCATTTCCAAATTCACCTGTGTTAAAATGGCTATTAAAACAGGAAACTTCCCAGGAACTCATACTCCAACCAAGGACTATTCATGGAGATAACCTAGAACCCTGACAATGCAGCCACTTCTGAGGAGAACTGATAGACTAAGATCAGAAAGAAGGAGAGGAGGACCTCCCCTATCAGTGGACTTGGGGAGCGGCATGCATACAGAAAGGGGGGGAAGGGTGGGACCGGGAGGGGAGGAGGGAGGGGCTTATGGAGAGATACAAAATGAATAAAGTGTAATTAATAAAAGTTAAATAAAAATTAAAAAAAAAGAAAAAAGTTTGATTTTCTTTTAAAAAATCATAAATGAAAATAACTTCAACTTTATTTAGAAATAGATAATTTGAGTGCTGGAGCACTTAGCTATATTGTGCTTGCTGGAAAGCACAATCATAACTGTGTTTCAAGATGTGAGTTCTCAGAGCCATGTCTGCCTTCTTCCTCCCATGCTCTTCTCCACAATGGTCATGGACTCCAGCCCTCTGAAACTGCAGTCTTCAAATTAATGCTTTCTTTTATAATTTACCTTAGTTACTGTGTCTTATCACAGCAATAGGAAAGTAAGGCACTGACCAAACTATCTAAGCAAATTAAGTAGATAAGTAAAAGTTTAAAAGTAGAGATTACCACCTTACAATATAGATAGATAAAGAATGCCACAAGGGCACCACCAACAGACATATCAAAGTGTGTGTGTTGGGGGGAAGCCCACAGGGCCTAAAGCTTACACAAAGAGCTATTGGCAGCTAAAAATGAGACACCTGGGAGCTGAAGAGGCGGTCTTCCCCAAGGGTGAGCACACCAATTATTCTTCCAGGGTCAAACAGACAATGCCAAACACATGCATACAAGTAACATACAGATTAAGCAGGTCATATTTTAGAAATATATTCCTTATAGTTTGAGAGTATACATGAATATATATAAATACATGTGCATACAACAATAATGACAAGGAGACTACTGTTCATCTGAAGGAGAAGTAGGAGAGTGTTTGGAGGATGTAAAGGGAAAGGAAAATGTTAAACGTCCAATGATTTTATATTCTCAAAAGTAAAATTAAAAAATAATGTCAGCGTTTATATTTTCAGTAGTTCGTTTCTTTTTCTTTTTTTTTTTCAGAAGAGATGACATTCTGCAATGTCTCTATTTTATATTGAAAGAAATCAAACTTTTATAGCATATGCAAATATCTAGGGAGCTAGTGATATTTGATTCTACAAATCAGGTTTACTCTTTCCTCTTAGTAATGTCTAGCCAACATTTATATTATTTTGAGAAGAGATTTCTTATATTTAAATGTAGCAATTTATACACACCATTTCTATAACATATATTCTTGTCCTCCTTCCGTCTTATGATGTTATTTTTGTCAGTAATACTTCACTTTCTTTAAGAAAGACATAATATAAAGTATGCCACAAAAATAATTAAACAACTTTTCACATATAGCTACTTTAAATTTGAAATGCTTTATGTTCATTCTACTTCAGCTATAAACTCACATGTTGTGCCTTAATTTTCAGCAATCTACATTTGTACTATTTTGATACCATGCCTGTATACACAATCAGTTTTAGTTCTTCTTTGAAAGACTTTGTAATCTGGTACTAATAGTTATAAATACACTAACAATTATGTCTTATGAGTACATGCCAGTGACAATGAGTTCTGCTTAAAATTCTGGCAAATTTGGAACTGGAATTAATTTATAAGATTGGAACATTCCGTATCCTGTTTGTCTAAATAGGTACTTACTGTAATTTTAGGAAACAGCCACAGATCAATTATTGCCAATCCCAGAGCAAATGTTTGACTTGATAATATTTCCTAATATCTGAAAAGCTTTGAACTTGATTACAAACCTGGATATTTTTCAGGATCTTGTCTCTCTTGATCAGGGCCTATCCGAGCCCATGGTACTTGAGATAGATTCTGTAGACGATGGTTTACATAAAAGAGATTAAATATCCCTAAATTCTAAATGGTGTATAGTTGATGACCCCATGAAAGAACACATAATTCAAGTATGCATTTCATAGTGCAGACAAGCATGGAGAACAGGTAGATAATATTGCTCACGTGGAATCTACATTGTTAGAAACGTCCATTCCCTTTACTCAATAGCTGTCATTTTTTCATTGTTTACTTTGATTATTATGTTTGGATTTTTGTTTTCACTGTTGTAATGGCTAAAACAGGAGCTTTTGAAAAAAAAAAAGAAAATATTCTCTTGGCTTACACCATGACAATTCTATTTTCATGTTTTTTTTCTAGGCAATCATGTTTTATTATAATAACCAAATTACACTGGTAAACAGCAGACAAGAGAGATTAGGATACAAAAGACATAGATGGAAACACATGCTCCATTACCAAGGAGTTTCAGTTTCCTGATGTGGATAATGAAGATAATTATAGTGTCTGCTGAAAGGGTGATTGTAAAGATGTATTAAGATAATATGTTGAAAGTTTATAGTTCAGGGTTTGGGCATAGTAAAGGATGTAACAGAATAAAATGTAACTGATGTAAAATGTTAGAAGGATAGTTACATTTACACTGTTGTTGATTTTCTTAGCTTTTCTATTCAGGATCATTTTCTTAGGTAGATTAGTGTGAACATTGCATGTGCGAATGAAGTTTTCCTAAACCTTTCTCTTGATGAAACATATAGCAAATATATTTGGGGGAAGCATAGAGCAAGGGAGAATGGCAAGAGTAATTAATCTGAATATCGATTAAAATCCGCGATATCTCAGTTGGTAGGGTACTTTCCTAGGATGCAGGTTGCACCGAGTTCAATTCTGGTACCGGGTAAACTAAATGTGTTGGTGCCCTAACCTCAGCACTCAGAGAGAGGCAGGGAGATCAGATATTCAAGGTCATTTTTAGCTACAAGCAAATTTAAAGCTATTGTGGGAAAAGGGATACCATATATCCAGGAAAAAATTCTTTTGAAACCATTATTCCCAGTTCAAGCAGACTTCTTGGAGAAAAATTTTCCATAGGACATCACATAGAACCCAAGAAGCATATCATATCATTTTCTAAAAAATCCCAACAAATTTCTCTATGTTATTGTTAGGATATGATTAGATTATAGCAGTACATGAAACATATTAACTAGATATAATCATGATTTAAAAATGTGATATTACTATCTGCTTTCTGTACTTGAAATGTAAAGCTGTCTGATAAAGAGTCATGTTATTCTGAAATAGACATTGTTAGTATAAACGACCATAATTGTTTCCACATTGGCAAGTACTTCAGGAACATAATATTAGTTTTTCTACACAAAATTTAGAAGGCACTGAAGATATGCTAAAGAACCATAGTTAACTTCACTCTGTTTTAGAGGACATTTTTATCATTTAATAACTGGAATTTTAGGAGTGATGTTGTCCATCAACAGAAGAGTACAAAACTTTCGAGAAAAATATGCTTTAAACTAGTCTGAATTTTATCAGCACTTTCTTCTTATTTTTAAAATAGATTGAAGAAAGTTTAATATAAAAATTCAATTACATCATATTGAGTGAGGTAGCCCAGAAGCAGAAAGACACAAATGGTATGTACTTACTCATAAGTGGATATTAGCCATATAAATATAAGATAAGCATACTAAAATCTATAGTCCTAAAGAAACTAAACAGCAAGGAAGACCAAAGGAAAGATGCTCAATCCTTGTTCAGAAAGACAACATGATAGACATTGGAAGCATTAGAAGACAGGAGCCTACCACAGCCAGCCTCTGAAAGACTCTACTGATTGAGGTATGGAAGCAGAGGCTGAGACTCATAGCCAAACTTTGGGCAGAGTGCAGGGAATCTTATGAAAGAAAGGGGAGATAGAAAGACCTGGAGGGGACAGGAGCTCCAAAAGAAGACTGACAGAGCCCACAAACAAAACAAAACAAAAACAAAAACAAACAAACAAACAAAAAACCCTGAGTAATGAGTAGTCCTGGGGGCCCTGCAGAGACTGATACCCCAACCAAGGACAATACATGGAGAGGACCTAAAATGCCAGCTCAGATGTAGCCCATGGACTCAGTCTCCAAATGGGGTCCCTAGGAAGGGAAGCAGGCCTGTCTCTGACATGAACTCAGTGGCAGGGTCTCTGATTACCTGTCTCTGTGGGGAGCAGCCTTGCCAGGCCACAGAGAAAGACAATGCAGCCAGTCCTGGTGAGACCTGATAGGCTAGGGTCAGGTAGAAGGGGAGGAGGACCTCCTCTATCAGTGGCCTAGGGAAAGGGCATAAGAGGAGCAGAAGGAGAGAGGCTAGGATTGTGAGGAGATGAGGGAGGGGGCCACAGCCGGGATACAAATTGAATAAATTGTAATAAATGATAATAATAAAAATGTTAAAAAAAGAATTCAATTACATTTACATGTAACAGCAATAAGCAGCTGCAGTGTAAAATTCCAATGCATTAGCATTTACAGAAGTAAGAAGAGACCCTTATCTCAGTCATGTCTAACAGTGCATGTACAAGTTATATGTAAAATTTTGAAAGAAATTAAAAATGATCTAAATGAATATGCCATCCATGCATTACTTTATGTGCTTTTTTAACTTTATTATTATTATTTTTATGTGCTTTTTAATATTACAAGCATGCATACACACATAGCCACACACAATTGAAATAAAATTTTCCCTCTTGAGGTGATAATATTCTCTCCTGTTCATGATTTCTAGTAATACAAAGCTATACCAGAGAACCTACCACATTTTCTACACCAGTAAAATTTCTAACTGCATTCTGAATACTTACCTATGTAATACTCTACCATTATCAGTGATTTTTCCCAGGAGAACTGAAATTCACAACCAGCCAAAATGTAGAGAACAACTAGCTATGGTATACCTATCCCAAATTGATACCCTGACAACACAATTTGTACATCTAAGATTCAGTTCACATCACAGAAGACGTGGCAGAAAGACTGTGAGGGTTAGAGGACCAAGGAATCTACTGAGAGATTGTGTCTATGCGTGTCTTGGAATTGCACAAATGAAATGTCAACAATGTGATCACCTAAAGTAGACCTGACAAATGACACACCAGTTGACATTTCAGTATAGATGGAAAAAAATCTCACAAGGCCCTACCACTGGAAGATGAGCTAGAGATATGCAAATAATGGCTTCTGGTGAAGAATCAATCCACTTCAGGGATGAGTTCCCAGACATGTTATCCAATCTCAAGGGGTCAGACCTAAATACATACATATTTGAGCAGCACTAAATGAACCCAGTGGTTGTCTTTATAAATTTACACTATCTATCTATCATCTATCTAATCAATAGACGTACAAAAACAATAAAATAAACACTAAATAATATATAATGATTATAAGAAAAGGGAAGGGGAGAAGGAAGGCGTTAGAGAGAGGAGAAAGAGAGAGAGGGAGGAAGAGATGTTAATGTAGAAAGCTTTCTTTATGTCAATATTTTTATTTTACTTTTTTACATTCTATTTGAAAAATTGAAAGATTGTTTGTACTTAACATTACAGAATCTGTTTTGATTGGCTTTGTTGAAACTGAGGAAAGTTCTGCATGTACAGTTTCTCTATGAATCTTCCACATAAAAGCTTCCATAGTTCTGGTTTTATAATAAGCAAATGAACAAGGTTTCAGAGCCCTGGAATACAGTACCTGCCAGTATCCCAATGACAGGTATGAGAATGGCAAACACAAGAAGGTAGAGAGCAACGAGGGCAGCTTTGAAGGACTTCAGTTTCTCGTGAAGGGAGGAGCCATTTTTAGGATCTAAAACAAAGTAAAAGCAAACAGAACAAAATTTGAGCCTATTATTAAAAGCCATGATTTAAGCTTTGTAATTCGTTCTGGGACTAAGGTTCGGGGCTTAAGGTGCTTGTTGAACAAACAATATATCATGATTATATATGATTCTACATTTGTATATCTCACATGATTTGAGTAAAACATACAATTATCTTAATGGAGCAAAATTGATTTATATTTTGACAAATCCTGGGAATGCATCGATGAAACCCATCCTTTGGCTAGATCAAGATGTAATAACTATACTTTTGTCTTTGACATGCATTTGCATAAAACAGACATTTCTATAATGCAATGTGGACTCCAGTGGGACTATGCAGATACACATGGGAAATGGTAGATTATGTATTTATTTTGTGGAAAGTGTGTGTGTGTGTGTGTGTCTGCATGTGTCTCTTTGTGCCCTTGTGTGTGTGTCTGCTGTTGTTGGTCTGTGTGGGTGTGACTGTGTATGTCTGCTCATGTGGGTTTCTGCTAAGGCTCATGGTCAGCGCTTCGATGTCTTCTTCTGTTGCTCTTCACTTTTGAGAAACAGTTAATCATGGAAAATGAAAAGAACAATCCATGATATAAACAAGCTGAAATTGGCTGTATTTCAGCTGACTAAATGTGAAGAACCCTGTTTGTCTTCCATGCATGTTTGAACTCATATGTGTAAACTCATGTATGATCTCTATAGGTTTTATATGCTGTTTTCTGCATCTGAAATGCCTCTCTAACTCTTCCCTCTCTACCCTTTTCCTCAGATCTGGGCATCAAATATAAGTAGAAGGAAAAGCAATTCTGTCCTGTCACCTGAAGCCCAGATTCTGCTAGGCATTGTTCCTCTTGTGTTCTTGTCACAATCTGATTCATCTATTTCAACTGGGATTTTATCTCCCAACAAGTTATGAATAAGTGTTAGCCCTAGATACCCATGAAGGTAATTTTAATTGGAACTGGGTCACTGCAGATGTAGCCAAGTGTAATTGGTGTCTTGAGATGCGAGGTTGATTTTGATATAATGGTTGCATCTTTATAAGAAGAGAAGTAACACCCAATTCATAGGAAAATAACCAATCTTTTTGAAGCAGGAAGCAGAGATGGCAGTGACTCAGCTAAATGCCAGGGCCACCAAGAGTTGTCAGAAACTACTAGAAAGAAGCTGGAAAGAAAGACGGCCTTTAAATGTCCTGTGTCCCTTTGGACACCTTGATTTAAGACTTCTGGGACAGAAAACTGTAAGAAAACAAACAAACAAATCTCTACTGATTTAAGACCCCCCAACCTACCACCTGTGTCACCCTGTCACTTTCTACTTACTGGGAGGAAGTGATGCTGTCATTGAGCGTGCATCAAATTTCACTGATTCTGAGTAGCCGTCGGCGTCCTCTCGTTCATCAGAGCAAAGCCACTGTTTCTCTATCATCTATCAAACATATGCGGAGTACACGGACCCCATAGGAAATTGCTGAGGTTAGGATTTATGCTGCTGCAAGTTAACATTTATAATTAGGCTTCAATTTTAGCAACCAAAGTGTTTAATTGAATACACACATTATATAGACCACTATATTAATCTTTCTCTTGACTTTCTACTTAGAATCACAATGTCAGATTTATGGGACTGTAGAGATAGTTGCCAATAAAGTGCCTGCTAGTCAAGCTTGAATACCTGAATTTAGATGCCACGCACCCCTGAAAAGCTACAAGTTGTACAAATCCTGGTGCTTGGAAGGGGAGACAGGAGACTCCCCAGCCCTGTGCCAGTCAGTCAATACAGCCAACTGGTGACTCTTGAGCACAATGAGAGATCCTGTCTCAAAATAGATGATGCAAAGAAACAGAAGACAATATCGACCATTAATTTCTGGTCTCCATAAACAACTACATATGTGATCAGTTGCAACTCCTCCAGACACGCATTCAAATGCACTCAGACATACACTACAAAGACATAAAAAACAGATTTAAGACGCCCTAATCTTTCCCAATCTGTAGGCTGTCTTTTGATTTTAATGACAGTGTCCTCTGCTTTACAGAAGCTTTTTAGTTTCATGAGGTCCCATTCATTGATTGTTGCTCTTAGAGCCTGTGCTGTTGGTGTTCTGTTCAGGAAGTTGTCCCCTGTGCCAATGAGTTCTAGGCTCTTCCCCACTTTTTCTTCTAATCAATTTAATGTGTCTGGTTTTATGTTGAGGTCTTTGATCCACTTGGACTTCAGTTTTGTGCAGGGCGATAAGTATGGATCTATTTGCATTTTTCTACATATAGACATCCAGTTAGACCAGCACCATTTGTTGAAGATGCTATCTTTTTTCCATTGTATTATTTTGACATCTTAGTCAAAGATCAGTTGTATATAAGTATGTGGGTTTATTTCTGGATCTTCTATTTGGTTCCATTGATCCACTATTCTGTTTCGATGCTAGTTCCATGTTTCACCAACCCTATATCTGACAGAGGATTAATATCCAGTATGTATAAAGAACTCAAGAAGTTAAACAGCAACAAATCAAGTAATCCAATTAAAAAATGGAGTACAGAGCTAAACAGAGAATTCTCAATAGAGGAATATCAAATTGCAGAGAAAAACTCAAAGAAGTTTTCAATGTCCTTAATCATCAGAGAGATGCAAATCATAACAACCCTGAGATTTCACCTTACACTCATCAGAATGGCTAAGATAAAAAACTCAAATGACAACACCTGCTGGAGAGTTTGTGGAGAAAGGGGAACCCTTCTCCACTGCTGGTGGAAATGTAAACTTATACAACTACTTTGGAAATCAATCTTGCACTTTCTCAGACAATTAAGAACAGCACTTCCTCAAGATCCAGCTAAACCACTGCTAGGCATATATCCAAAAGACACTCAAGTATTCAACAAGGACATCTGCTCAACCATGTTTGTAGCAGCTTTATTTGTAATAGCCAGAAGCTAGAAACAGCCCAGATGGCCCTCAGTTGAGGAATTGATACAGAAATTGAGGTACATCTACACAATGGACTATTACTCAGTGATAAAAAAACAAGGAAATCATGAAATTTGCAGATAAATGGTGGGAACTGGAAAGTGGATACTAAACATATAATATAGTATAAACATACTAAATTCTGTACACCTAAGGAAGCTAATCAGGAATGAGGACTCTGGCTAAGATGCTCAATCCCCATTCAGAAAGGCAAAGAGGATGGACATCAGAGGAGGAAGAAAACAGGGAACAGGACAGGAGCTTACCATAGAGGGCCTCTTAAAGGCTCTAACCTGCAGGGTATTGAGGCAGATGTTGAGATTCATAGCTAAACTTTGGGCAGAGTACAGCGAATCTTATGAAAGAAGTGGGAGATAGTAAGACCTGGAGAGGACAGGAGCTCCACAAGGAAAGCGACATATCCTAAAAGTCTGGGCACAGGGCTCATTTCTGAAATTGATACTCCAGCTAAGGATCACTCATGGAGATGGCCTGGAACCCCTGCACAGAGGTGGCCTATGGCAGATCAGTATCCATGTGGCCTCCAAAGTAATGGGGACAGGGACTGTCTCTGACATGAACTGATTGGCCTGCTCTCTAATCACCTCTGCCTGAGGGGGGCCAGCCTTACCAGGCCACAGAAGAAGACAATACAGCCACTCCTGAGGAGACCTGATAGACTGGGGTCAGAGGGAAGGGGAGGAGGGCCTCCCTTTTCAGTGGACTAGGAGAGGGACAAGGTGGAAAAGAGGGAGGGCAGGATAGGGAGGGAGGAATGTACAGGGGGATACAAAGTGAATAAACTGTAATTAATAAAAATAAAAATAATTAAAATAAAAGAGGCCCTAATCATGAGGATTCATTGTTGTGTTGTTCTATGTAGAAAGGCGTCTGTGTTTAGAGACTTGTGTCCTTTAGGTGTGAGAAGGAGTAGACTTACTTTTCTACCTAGACACAAAACAGAAACAAACAATCAAAACAAAAATACCCCCCCCAAAAAAAAAACAAATGCCATAAAATAACTAGCTGAGGAGAAAACAAATGATTTCCCTTAAAACAAATAGTTATACACATTTGGAACAAATATTTCCTGTGACCTTCTAGACTGAACTTATTAAACTAGCTTAATGAGCCAGACTTCCTTGCCAAGGCATCTTTTTATCAGTTTAAAAGATACTGTTAAGTCTCTAGATTTAAAATCACAGGAAAAAGTAAATTTTCTTTTTTCCCCTTTTTTTGAGTTTTAAATAAATTAATTATTTATCATTGTCTTATATATTATATCCCTACCTCAGTTTCTTCTCCCTCCTCTCCTTCCAGTCATCCCTCCTCCCTGACACACCTCCCCTCTCACCAGGATCAACTCTTTTCCCTTCAGAAAAGAGCAGGTCTACCCAGGATATCAACCAAACATGACACAACAACTTGCATGAAGAAGACTAGGCACAAAGCTTCATATCAAGGCTGGATGAAACAATCCAGTTTGAAGAAAGGGTCCCAAAGCAGGGAAAAGTAACTTTTCTTTCCTTCCCTTCCATTCAGTCCTCTCTCTCTCTCCTTTCCTCTCCTCCTCTTTTTTCTCTACCTCTCTTCTTTCCCCACAACTCTTTCTGTCTCTTTAGACTTTTGTATTACACGACACAAATCTGTTCCTTTGTCATTAAATTCAATCAGTATTCTATTGACTCTACTTGACAACATTGCTTTGCACATTCAAAAGGTAACAAAAAAAATCATGTAAGTCTATACCAAAAGAAAATATTAAACATTACTTTAATATGATACAATGTATATGATATACCAAAATATCACATAGCACTCACAAATATGTATACTTTTATAGTTCATAAATTTAATTATGAGCAAGATTAGTTCAGTGGAGGATCGCTTACCAAGCGTGCGCCAGTTCTCATGCTTAGTTTCAGCTATGCAAAAAATAAATAAATCTCATCTAATTTAAGATTTTTACATTAAAATAAGTACATTTAATTAAAACACAAAGTTCCCTTTCTTTTTATTTTCTTCTTTTTTTTTGTGATAGGAGGCATTAAAACCTAGGTCTTCTCAAACATTCATACTGTAGGTTTTACCATTAAACTAAATCCTAGGCTCTTGAAACTCTACTTGAAAATAAACATAATAGGATAAAATAAACTAATAAAACAATTTGAAATTCTAATACATTTCCAAGAAGTGGTGCCTATTATGGTCGAATGATCTGTATTTTCGGAATATTAACCTCGACGATATATGGAATAACTGTTTTGTTGGTCACAGTTTATGTAGGTTGATTAATTTAGTAAGAATCCAAAAGCCTCTAATTTTTGTTTATCCCTCCCCAATGCTGAGAGGTGTGTTTAGCACTGCAGTTTTAACTGAATTGGGGCAGCATCAGGAAACAAAACTCTGGCCTGGTCTGGGAATGGAGGACCATCAATCCTTTCTGAAGGCACCCGCTGCTGTGGGAGATTCATAGACTAGTAAGGACGTGACTAAACCCCTGTCAATAGACTTCTAAAAATATGGCCAAGGAGGTTATTCATTTGGCCGATCACACTGACAACCTTTGCGCGTTGATCATTTCTGAGAATTGGTTTCCACAAATCTTGAGTTGCTCAGTCCAAGGACTGTGATCTTTACAGTATTTGATCACTGGGACAAGGGTTATCTTCTAGTTGACAACCTGAGTTTCCAGCAAAAGCAAGCTGCATACTTCCTAGCTTTTGCCTCAGCCTTTCCATAAGCTTAGAACATTGATATGAGGAAGATAGAGCCAAATTGGAATGGATTGCCTGAATCTGTGAGTTCATTCTCCTCCTACTATACATTTTTTGCTGGTTTCTTTTGCAGACAGAGCCAGGCTTTCCCATTAAAGCTTAGGAACACAGCCACCTCCTCTTTCTCCTTCTCTGCATTACTTTGAACTTTATTGGTCTCAGTTGGCAACTGGCTTTGACATCCTACTAGCATTTTTCAGGGACTCATTACTAGATTTTGTCCAGGGTGATATGGGAGGTGTTGTTTGGTTTGTAGGATGTTTATATAACCTAGTTTTCACCTTTCTTTTTTTTTTAATTTTTATTGATTACATTTTATTCACTTTGTATCCCCCCTGTAGCTCCATCCCTGCTCTCCTCCCAGTCCCACCCTCCCCCTTTCCACCCATGTCCCTCCCCAAGTCCACTGACAGGGGAGGTCCTCCTCTCCTTCCTTCTGATCCTTCTGATTCCTCTGGTCTCATCAGGAGTGGCTGCATTGTTTTCCTTTGTGGCCTGGTAAGGCTGCTCCCCCCTCGGGGGGGGTGATCAAAGAGTTTTCACCTTTTAAATTTCAATAATAGCTCTTAAAATACTGATCTTGTAGTGATATGTCCACTAAATTTTCTCCTTAGGTGTATAGGAACAATGCCTACTCCCGTTTTTTTAGATCCTAATGATAAACCAAAGTATTATTTC